AGCAATCCACAGGCAAATCAACTGGCAGTGGTCCTTCTCTACCTTCTCTCATATAATTACATATTAGGTCTCTCATGTTTTGTGCATGTTCCAATCACAATGTAGCGCTTGCTTTTTTTTTTTTCTTTAAATTTTATTGAAGTGGGTCAATTTGGGACCCTTATTTTCGCATCCAGAATCTTATTAGTGAGTGGAAGTGATTTGATGCATTTTAAAGATGGAACATGAAGCTAACAATATCTAACTTGCTTTTGGGTTGTTGTGGGTGTTATCCCTTTCTCAATCAAACTCTCCAAAGGTTGTTTGGATGCATTCTTAGCTATCCCCTAATTGATACCAAGGATAATTAAATCTCGTGAAAGGAAAAGTTTACTTTTTAGTTAGAATTTCAAAACTAAATACCCTTAATTTTGATACAAAACTTTACATTTGGACGAAAAATTAGGGGTGAATAACCGATCTGCAGAGCGTGAAAATTAGTTCAATTATTTCGAACTAAATTTTACGCATAAATATCAATTTGGTTAGCTATAAAAGTGATCAAATCAAAAATCGTAAATCATTCAGTTATTACTATTTAAACTGAACAGTAATAAAACTCTTAAAATGTTAATCGAATTAAACCGAAATAAATTAGTTTGGTTTGATTATTCAGTTCAGACCGAGTATTGCTTACCCTTAACTGAATCGATTAGTGTATAAAATCAATCCAATCATTTTGATTTGATTGGTTTAGTTTGATTTTTGACAATTTTTAGATGAATTTATTATTATTTTTATTTAGTGAAAATCAAACTGAACAAAAAGAAATTTAATTTTTTTCCTAATAAACTCAAAATTGAACTAAACATGTAAAAGACCAAATTGAATCACATCAAATTGAATCCAATTTGATTCGATTCAATTTAATTAATTTTACGCTTAGGCATGTCTACATAAAAAAATACCTTTAAAAATGTTTTATATCAAAGTTGATGTCCTTAAATGAGTATAAACATTGACTGAAAATGGGAAAAAAGAAAAAACATCCATGAGGTACCCTTTACTACAACTGAATTCAACATGGGTAATGGCTAGTGAGGCTATGAGCTATAATAAGATTTTCCCATTTGAGAGAGACAGTTGAAGGTATTGTCACTTTCAATTCCTACTCCTAATTTAAAAACTTCCTACTTCTTAACCATGAAATGGGGACAAAAGGGCTTACATCCAAACACCCACTTAATTTGCATTTCAAGCAAATGTCTCTTTCAATACCTAATTGCACTTGAAGTTAACCCTAAACCTGTCTTAATAGACTTTATATCTTATCATTAATTACCAATTATAAAATAATTATAATTCTTATCTTCTACACATGCTTTGCTTCCAATGGATGACCAATAAATATGAGATTTACCAAATTGGTCAAAAGAAATTGTCTATTCTTTGAATATTAAGTCAACGCATCAATGTGGGGCCTACATTGCACGTGTAACCATGTACAACAGCGAAAGACTATAATTAGTATGTGCTCACATTATGTTGTGTGCATGGAATGGGACCTCAGCTTCCACTCTGATACAAAGCATTCAAGTATACTTATAAGTACTGTTCCCTTGTAAGACTATCACCATCGGTTCTTCATCGGATGGTAATAAATGAAGATAGGAGTAGGGCCTATACAAGTATTTATAGACACACATGTATACTATGTATAGAGAGATAAAAGCAGCTTTTGCTTTTTAAATTAAAGCTATCTGCTTTTGTATAGTTTAATTTAATGGCCTATAGCACAAAATTGCTATTGAACTTTATAGTTTTGTTTTCATGGCGTTTCAAATTTTTTAAAAGACCTATTGTGTTTTTATTGTATTGCAGTAATTTTTAATAATAATTTTTCATTTTTAAAAATAATAATTTTTAAAGTGAAGGACTGGTATTAAAATTGAATTGCAGTAAAAGAATATAACTTGGAAAATTAAATGACATTGGCATTGAATTTGAACTTGGTAATTAGAAAGATAGAGTTGCTTGTCTGTGTAATTTCAGTAATTACCCATTATCAGAATTAACTCCGTTACTTAATTCTTATAATAATAAAAATAATAATACAAAAATTCAATAACTAAATAACTAACATATTTATAATAATAAAACATTATTACAGGTTAAGAACCTAAATTTTCATTAAAATATAATTTCTTATTAATCAATTCAAATTTTCTTACAACAATTTAAATTTATTATTAACTTAATTTTTTGGTATATAATATAATACCGCAAACTGTCTATATTACTAAATGTGAGAAACCAATATTAGCTATTATAATAATTAATATTATTTGAAAATATTATTTATAATTTTTAGTATTTTTTTTTTACTTTTTGCTAAAGTCGGTGAACATATAATTAATTTTATGGTTGCTTTTTTTGAGAAATTTTTTTTTAATATATATTATATGGTTTGCTAATATAACATGTTATATCATAATTTTATATTATATATGTATTTCTGTAACACCCACCGCCCAGTCCCGAGAGACCCGACGGCGGATGTCTGAACATATAAATTAATTTTATGGTTGCTTTTTTTGAGAAATTTTTTTTTAAAATATATATTATATGGTTTCTAATAGTAACATGTTATATCGCAAATAATTTGTATAATTATATATGTATTTTGTAACAACCCACTACGCCAGTCCCCGAGAGACCCGACGGCGGATTGTCACATTCGGTGCCCGGAGGCACCGTCCTTAACTTAACAATATAAATCAGTAAAATCCTAGTTGACTAGAAGTGATTTAATATTCACAGGAGTTAAAATGTAAGTATATTTTTTTTTTTTTTAAAAAAATGATTTTGGGACGAAACCTATAGAAAAACTGCAAAAGAGTTCCCCTAAAATATAGACCATTGCTAAACAAAGTGAATACAACACTCCCAAATTTTCAAAACTCAAACTCCATCACACTCCAAGAACAACACAAATAAGACTCTCTAAGGTCTAACTACAAACATTTGCGTATGCATCAATTAGATTACATTTAGTTAAACATATTACTTTTGATTTTTCCTGCACAATAAATAAGTTCCAAGTCTTCTTCCAATAAATACACCAATTAATTTAAATAATATACCTTACAGTCAAATAAAATTAAACATAATAATATAACACCGAATTTCAAATTTTAACAACTATTGCCTCTAATTTCCTTAATTAATATCACATCTTAAGTTACTACTCACTAATTCTCTAAAATATCTTCCAATAAATACACCCAATTAATTTACAATAATATACTTACAGTATAAATTACATAATAGAGTCTCCAAAAATGGACTACTTATACATGCCATATTATCATATATAATAATTTTTAAATAATACCGACTCCCGGACCGACAGTATTATTCACAGACAGATAAACTACTATTTCAACACAGGAAAAATAGGGCGTTACAATTTCTATCAAATAATAATAAATATTCTTCTATTTTCTATCAAATAATAAATATTCTAATATATTTCTCAATAAATAATAATAAAATATATAATTTTTTATATAATAAGTTACTTTTAGAAAGTAATTATAACCAATCAAATTAAAGATTTATTAAAAATAATAATTAAAATATTATATTTTTACCATATTGAATTTGTAACTTATAGTATCATTTAACCAATCAAAATTAGATTACCTTTAATTTTTCAACAAATAAAATTAAAATTTTTAAAAATATTATGTTCTTACTATATTTAATATATATTTTATTTAGTACCCAAATAAGTATTACCATATTATATTATATTACCATATAATATGTATATATTATACTATCATATAATATTCATGTATTACCCTATTTAATATATATATATATATATATTATATTTTAATATATATTATATTTTATGGTTTCAAAATTTCGGCTGATCAAATTAAAAACTTTAATGATATTTTTGCCAATTCATAAACTTATAAAAGCATTTTTAGTGATCTGAATATTCCCCTATCCATTCGTACTTTCATAATTATATAAATAGATTAAATAACTAAAATTACTAATTAAAATCATTTTATTAATTATTTAATTAAGTTTGGGTTTTATCAAACCAAACTAAATCAAATTAACAGTAATTCTTCTTTACATAGAAAAATAAATAATTCTTCACTGTTGTTATTGTTTTCTAAGAAGAAGAAAAACATTAATCTTGATCGTTTGGAAACTAATTGAAAAAAATATATAGAGCTGACTGAAACAGATAGAAAACAAAAATGGAAAGTAAGCAAAACCCATTTGAGCAAATCAAAAAAAAAAAAAAAAAAAAAAAAAAAGAACAAAGAAAAGGAAAAAGAAAAACCTATTTGAGTAATAAAAAGGAAATAAAAAAGCAAAAAGGAAAGCAAATAATTCATAGAACAAAGATTTCACGAGGAGCCATTGAAATTGCAACACCAATCTCCAAGTTCATTCTCTCGAGATTCTCACCTTTCTTTATGTAACAAGAAAGATTAGAAAAGAATTTAGACCTAACATTTTTTAAAAATGGCCAACCTGAAGGAATGTTGGATTCCCATAATCTACAGTAGAAGCCCTCAGCAAACCGAAGCAAATCCTTAACAACTTGTCCTTCTCTGGCTTTCTCTTTCTCTACGCAAGAGACAACAACACTCTACCTGACCCACAAACTCACTTTAGTTAAATTCTTAACTCTCATATATAATATGTTTAAAATGGTTAACAGTTAATACTTCACTTACTATCTTTTTTTTTTTTTTTTTTTTTTTTTTAATTTAAGTATAATTCAGAGGAATAAATAGAGAATTTCCCCAACAGTCTTTTTCTCTTAAACAATTGCATGCATTGGAAGGAATTTTCTTTTTTTTTTTTTTTCCTTTTTTTTTTTTTTTTTTTTTTTTTTTTTTTTTTTGGAAATTTTAATATAATCAGGGAATAAAGTAGAGAATTCCCCAACAGTCTTTTTCTCTAAACAAATGCATGATTGAAGGAATTTTCTTTTTTTTTTTTTCCTTTTTTTTTGGCAATCATCTTTTATATTATCAAGATTTGGTTAGAGTGGCCTTATAACTTTTATATATTTTCTGATGCACTTTGCTGAACCAGTGGCAGGCATGTTACTTTGCTACCTCTTTAGTCTTTTTTACTACCAAACTCCTCTTGCTTTCTTGGCTTCTGGGTTCTGACATAAGGTGTTTGTGTTTGTGTTGGAGTAAATGAGTGAGTGCAGTTATAGGAAAGCATGAGGTACTGTGAGCTTTATACATGAGAAAACAAACATAAAACCAAAACCAAGATTTTCTTTTGTTGAAAATTTCAAATCTTTAATTACGCTCTTCTCTAACTTCTATCTTCCCTTTACTTCTTCCTTTTTGTAAGTTATAATATAATCATTAGTTTTTTGGCAATTGGGTATTTGGTTTTGTGTTTTGAATTCAATGGAAGCAAGGGAAAACAATGTTCGTTTTTTATGTTTGAGTTTGTTCTGCTTATTGAGTACTGCATATGGATTGTTGTCTCCTAAAGGCGTCAACTATGAAGGTAAATAAAGTAGTTGTTGTTTAGATTTTCAAATTTCTGGAAAAAGAATAAGATTTTTTTTTAGTTTTTTACACTTTCTTGGAATTTTTCTCCAGTTGTGGCTTTGATGAGTATTAAGGGTTTACTACATGACCCTCATAATGTTCTTAACTGGGATGAAACTGCTGTGGATCCATGTAGCTGGACAATGATCACTTGTTCTCCAGATGGCCTGGTCACTGGCCTGTAAGAAGCTAAACTAAACATTCCAATTATTTGAAAATAACTAAATTTGGTAAAACTCTCAATTGATAAAAATGGTTTTTGTTGCAGAGGAGCTCCAAGCCAATATTTATCTGGCCGTCTTTCACCAAGTATAGGAAATTTGACAAATCTCCAGCTTGTGTGAGTGTTCAATTATGTTTTGAAGCAAGGTTTTTAATTTTTCTCTTATCCTATTTAATTAAGAAAAAGGTGTGTTTTGTAGGCTTCTACAGAATAACAACATATCAGGACCTTTGCCCTCTGAGCTTGGAAGGCTTTCAAAGCTTAGAACACTTGATCTTTCTAATAATTTATTCAATGGTGAACTTCCCAGTACTCTGTCTAATCTAAAAAACCTTCAATACATGTAAGTATAAATTGTTTATGCAACTCTATTTAGTATAAATTTTATATCATGCTCTGATATTTTTTTTTCTGCTTTTTTGAATTGGAATCAGGAGGCTTAACAATAACAGTTTCCATGGAGCAATTCCTTCATCTTTGGCTGCCATGTCTCAGCTTTCCTTTCTGTAATTTTCTTCGAACTTTATCCTTCTATAGTATGCATAATATTTTTCCTAAGAAAAATTATTTAAGATTTATATGGGTTTTATTTAATTTTCTAGGGACTTGTCTTACAATAATCTGACTCCTCCTGTACCCACTTTTCATGTTAAAACATTCAAGTAAGTTAATCTTTTTTCTTTTTTTTTCTTTTTTTTTCTTTTTTTTCTTTGTTTTGTACCTTTTCTCTCAATTTCTCTTCCTTGGTTAGAACGGAAAGTTGAAACAATACATTATTTATTTACTTATTTGTGTATGTATTGACTCAGCATTATAGGAAATCCTCTGATATGTGGAACTGAGCAAGAATGCTTTGCAACCATACCAACTCCACAGTCTTTGGCCTTGAACAATTCACAAAGTAATTGCAGTTCCCGCCTCTTTCCAGTTCCTTTATTTACTTTGGAGGTTCAAAGTTTTCTGTTCTAAAAGTTTGTTCTGTCTTTTTTGTTTTTAGCTACAATTATATTGCTTTTGACTTTAATTTCAAGTTCATGATTCTTTATCCTCTTTATGGTTTTCTTTAGTAGCTATAAATTTCAAACCTTATTACTCTTTTCTGCTTTAGATTTTTGCTTTTATGCTTACACAGTTTCTTGTGGTTCTTTAAGATTCTCAACCTTCAGGAAGTGGAAAAGGCCACAAAATTGCCTTAGCCTTTGGTTCAAGCCTGGCCTGCATCTGCTTATTGATTCTTGGATTTGGTTTTCTTCTTTGGTGGAGGCAAAAGCACAATCAGCAAATATTCTTTGATGTTAATGGTTAGTAAGGCAAAACATGACTTAAGAAAAGAAAAATAGAGCAGATCCTAAAATATGTTTTCTATTTCCAATATTGCAGAACCCCGTCATGAAAAACTCGACCTTGGAAACCTGAAGAGGTTTCAATTCAAAGAACTTGAGGTAGCTACAAACAATTTCAGCAGCAAAAACTTGATAGGAAAAGGCGGTTATGGCAATGTTTACAAAGGGTATCTACAAAATGGAACCGTTGTAGCTGTTAAAAGGCTTAAAGATGGAAATGCTATTTCTGGTGAAATTCAATTTCAAACAGAAGTAGAGATGATCAGCCTAGCAGTGCATCGCAATCTCCTCCGTCTGTATGGATTTTGCATGACAACAACTGAAAGGCTATTAGTTTACCCTTACATGTCCAATGGGAGCGTTGCTACTCGTCTCAAGTGTAAGACTTCCATCGATCCACTTACTGTCTCTTACTCTCTCTCTCTTCTTGCATATCAAATTTCAAGTTGACCCATTGTTTATCTTGCAGCCAAACCAGTATTGGACTGGGGTACAAGAAAAAGAATTGCTTTAGGAGCTGCAAGAGGATTATTATACTTGCATGAACAGTGTGACCCCAAGATCATTCATAGGGATGTTAAGGCTGCAAATATATTGCTTGATGATTACTGTGAAGCTGTTGTAGGAGATTTTGGATTGGCAAAGTTGTTAGATCATAGGGAATCCCATATTACGACAACTGTTAAGGGTACTGTCGGGCACATAGCCCCAGAATATCTGTCAACAGGTCAATCATCTGAGAAAACAGATGTTTTTGGGTTTGGAATGCTCTTAGTTGAGTTAATTTCTGGTTTAAGAGCTCTTGAATTTGGCAAGTCATCAAAGCAGAAAGGAGCTATGCTTGATTGGGTACGTCTAAGATTGATGTTTACTTCTACTATATATTGTAAATTTACGTTCCATTTTCAGTTAATGGAAATTGGATATCAATACTATGTCTGATTTGAAAGTGGTAGTTGCAGGTGAAGAAGATTAATCATGAAAAAAAGCTCGAGTTGTTAGTTGACAAAGATCTGAAGAACAACTATGATCGAATAGAGTTGGAAGAAATGGTTCGGGTAGCTCTGCTATGCACCCAATACTATCCGACTCACAGACCCAAAATGTCAGAGGTTGTTCGTATGCTCGAAGGAGATGGACTTGCAGAGAAATGGGAAGCATCGCAGAGAGCTGAAGCAACTGGATCACGAGTCGCTGAGTTCTCATCTTCAGAGCGATATTCGGATCTTACTGATGATTCTTCGTTACTTGTTCAAGCGATGGAGCTCTCTGGACCCAGGTGACATGTTTCTAAAAAAGGATGGAAAAGCATTTTACATACTTCAAAATGAAAAGAATCTACAATGTGAAAACAAAGTTTCTTGTATATTACTGTATTAAAAAACATATTGAAGCTCTAGAGCATTATGTCAAAATTTTCTGACTGTACAGAATCGGGATTGAAAATGACATATAGATGAGTGTTTACATGTCTTTCTGTTCCTGTTGAGTGAAGATTTTTTCTTCTCTTGCTGGATTTTCTGTCAGGGTTGCTTGTAATAATTGTCCTAGAATAAAAATTACGATTCTTTGCTAATTTGAAGCATCTCACGTTTTGAAGCAAAAAATTGGACTTCGTTTCCATGAGATGTGTGCATTTTTGTACTGCTGAAACTAGAACTTAAAGGCTGTTTGTGAGCTTATAAAGCCTATAATAGACACTTTCAAGGATAATGCAAGTAACTTTTGTCTTGGCCTCAACTACATAAAACTGAAAATTTCGTAGTAACAAAAGTTTAGTGTGGACTGCAAGAGCTGTATTAAAACTTCAAAGAATTGGCAAATGCATCCATGTCAAAAGTATAGCTGAAGATACATTGGTTTCAGAATTATCTGATACAAACAAAACCAACTGCAAGCCCATCTCCAGATAAAGAATAAAGCAAAAACAAAAGAGGAGAAGAAACTTTACAATGTACAATACTTAATCTTGAATAAATAGAATTTCAGCTTGAGCGGAAGCACGCCTAAATCTCAACAACTCGATCAGCATATTCAATCTTCCATCCATGACATATACAGAAGGTGCAATACTCATCATCTCAAGCATGGGTGAATTTGCAAGCAAAAATTTCATAAATTCCATTTCATGTGGCACGCCAGACATATCTGTCATCTTTACAACTCTGAGTTTTTCAAAAGTACAGTCTTTGGGGCAATCTTTTATCCAAAAATCTAAATCAGGTGCTTCTATAGCAGCCAAAGTGTTTGAGGAGCCCTACACAGAAGCAAAGATGAAAGTAACTGGTTTGCGCCAATAACTAATCAAAGAACATATGAAACTGCGAACAAGTAGAAGCTAGCTAATTGCTTTGCCAACAATCATAAAACAAGATATAAAAATGTCTGAAATAACTAACCGAAATTTGTAGTTCTTTCAGATTTGGAGAGTTCATGATCAAGTGAAGAACAACAAGTATCTCCTTCATATCTTCGAAGCTAACTTGATATAATTCAATTGTTTTCAAGTGATTATAAGTAATTGGAAGTTTTCTCGGGGAATCACCTATGCTCAAATACTTGAAAAAAAATTAATAAAATTCAGCTAAAACAAGTCAAAAATAATAAAGTTTTGCTACATGTAACTGAGGTCCTTTTCAGCTCAACATTTGAAATCCAATCAATGAAGAAAACAACATCAACTTCATGAAGCAAAATATAAAAATGTGTTACCTTTGTGAAGTAGATATGCCCAATAAGCCTCTCAAGACGAGGCACGCCACCAAGAAACTTGATAAAATTGCAATTTGAACTTTGCTCAAAGTGTTCAGCAATATCATCCGTGATATACATAGCAACTGACATGGCAACTAAAAGTGGTGTATTTTCAAGACAAATATCCTTGAATTCACCCTCCAAACACAAATACTTCAAATTTGGAGCGTTTATGTTAAGGACTAAACTATCAAAATATGACAGTGAAAGACTCTCAAGGAGAGGGCAACCGGAAATGAGACCCTCAATTGCATCAGGAGCAACCAAAACTTGATAAAGATTGAGACTTTTCAAACACAGGAATCCTTTAAAACTAGAAGGTGGATCAAATTCGCAACGGGTCAACTCCAGACGGGTCAATTTCTCACAATTGAAAAGACATGAAGGCACTCTAAACCATTCTCCTTCCCCTAATTCAAGAACAAGCTCTTTAATATGACACCGGGAAAGAAAAAGTAACCATTGATCAATATCTGGGCAACACTGCAAATAAGAAGTAGAAAGCTGGAATTTGTGAATGGGTCCTTGATGAAGAAAGAGTGCCCTGGTGATAAAGTTGATAAGACTTTTCTCAAGAACCCCTTTATCATTATATATTGCGACACATTTATCATCGAAAACAAGGTGAGTAATTGTAGCCCATCTATACCTCCATTTGGTAGATAAAATGCTGGTTTTTACAGCATCTCTAATGGGTAATCGAATTAAAATGCTTTCTACAATGCTTTGAGGCAGATCACTAATAAAATCTGCATCCTCAACATCGCCCATCACCATCAATGAACAGACCAATCTATGCAAATCCAACTCCTATAATCAAACCAACGCAAACCCCGATTTTCTTTTCTGATTTTACCGACAAATTTCTCGGGAATCAAACACAAAGGCTAAAAGAGAAAGCTAAAGAAATGAGATTCTAGAACTGGATTAAAAAAATATTACAAAAGGTATTAGAAATTAGCTCAAAGGGAAAAACTAACTACAAAACCTAGGATATGATATCCCACAACTATCATGAAGCAACCAAGATAGGACTTCTGCAGGAGGTTGATTATGAACCTGAGTCCCAATAGCCATCGTTCTAGCCAAGTTTGCAAGAGAGTCTGCACAGTAGTTTGCTTCTCTAAATATATAGTTATGCTGCAATTCCAATCCAGAGTCAAGAATTGCTTAATCGAAGTAATTAGACCTCTCAAACTATCAGCAATTATTCGCTAGAAAGTGAAAAAAAAAAAAAAACCGTTAGAATTGATATTCTGATAATGAAACAACAATGATTCTAAGATTTTAATTTCTGATGAAGAGATGAAAGTGATGCAAGATAGCACACTGAAACCTGAATCAGCAGCAAAGAGGGGGGCAAAAAAAAAGAGACTGAAAAATTATTAAAGAAAAAGGAAGAAATTAGAAGATATGTATACGTACAGATCAACAATGGATCGGAGAAAGAGGAAAGGGAAATCGCAGGATTTAGGTGTCGGTCTTCGCTCGTTCGTTCGTTCGGTGTGTAGTGCGTCTTAGTTTCATGACAGAGTGTGTCCGTTTCTATGATTTATTTTCAAAAACGTAGTGCCGTTTCTACTTCTTCAATTCTACGAGGCAACAGCAATGTCGTTTTTCCTTCTACGCAGGTCATTTAACTAATGGACTCGATGGAAGGTTGCATATGTGATCACATATAAATATGGTTGATTACGTTATGTAATTACTCTTTAGCAATTGTCTGGAGATTAATTATAGTTAAGAAGTGTTTTTGTTATGAAATTAGTGGATATTTAGGCTATAAGCCTATATTCCTAATTCGTGTATAAGTTTATTTCGTGCTTATATATATACACTCTATTCTGTCCACTCCTCTCTATTCTCCCTACCTTTTAATATTATTTTATAATAGTTTTGATGTTTTTTTTCAAAAATAATCTATAATTAATATATTTCGTATTACTAATAATTTAGCAAAAAGATATGATTAAATGTAATAGTAATAAATTATTTATTTTAAGTGGCTAAAAATATAAAAAAAATTAATATTCTTAAGAAATTTTTAATTTCACTTGTTATGTCAAGTTTCTATTTAAATTCAAAACAAATGACTTATATTTATTACTAATACTTTAACCAAACTAGGAATTTTAATATTTTATTATTTTTAATCAATATGTTAGCTTCTTAATATTAATTAGAAAAGCTATCTGGTTAATTATTTTATAACAATTTAATCACTTAAAAAAAACTAGAAATCCATAAAATAAAACTAATAATAAATAATTAAATGATTAATATTAAACAATAATTTTTTGAGAAATATAATTAGTTAATAATAATATTAAGTATCCTATCTATTTATATAGATCAAATATAAAACTAAAATAATATTAGTAGTTAACAGTGTTTACTGATATCTTAACAAAATAAAATAGTTATTTATATTATTTTGAATAATAAAATTAAAATTAAAAGTAAAAGAAATAACATTATATCTATCCGCTCGGTGATGATTTTGACAATATATAAATCTTCATAGTTGTAATTAGTTCGTTAATTGATTTAAAAGACAAAACAATAATTTCTTTCGATCTTTTATATTTTTATTGTTTTTCTAAGAACTTACAACATATGATGAACACATATGAGTTTCTGCCACTATATGTTAATAATATTAACGGAGGAAGATAATGCATTACGAAGCTCCATAGATCACATTACTAGGCTCCATAGATCGAAAATCCACGTCTATTATGCTGTCTGTTATGCTGTTTAAGTGAATTAAGCTCTAGAATCATTTTGATCTGACATAAAATGAATTTGATGTTTGAATTTGATGTCATTTCATTTATAATTCAATTTGTTCTCACACATCACAAAAATTCAAATTTACCTTTTTCTAAACAAAATTCTGATAAATCCATTTATGAATTTTGTAAGCTTGCGTTTTAATTGATAAATGGGCCAGTGAGACAAATGTCGTATTCAAGGTTTTAGTTTTTAGTAAATCTCATAAAATGTCAAATATTAAAAAACTAATTCATTTGGTCAAAAATAAAAATAAAAATACGCAAAATAACCTCAAACACTATGAAACTAACGGATTCGGTCGAAAAGGAATCACCGAAAAAAGGAAATGTTGAAAAAGAGGAAACGCTGAGAAAAAGAACACGTTGAAAAAAAGGAAACCGTAAAAAAAAAAAAAAAAAAAAAAAAAAAGAAAACCCGTAAAAAAAAAAAAAAAAAGAAAAAAAGAGAGCGACAAAAGAACAACAAAATTGTAAGAGTTAAATCCCTATACAACTTAATGTTCAACAACGGAGATGGACGACTGCCGACCACTGACTACACATGATTGTAAATACGAGTATATATGGTATATATCGTATATTAATAAGACGAATTATATATATAGTATCAGTAGAGATACCGTAAAATCAATTAAATACCAAAATAGAATAATATATATATACAATTAATACTATTAGATCAAATACAAGGTAAATACGGTTATGTATACATATCTTGTATTAGTTAAATTATTTGTAAAGATCAATGTCATATATTATATATTATATATATATATATATATATAATATATTGTATCAAGGTTAATCTCAAACATAGGATCGGAAGAGTCCTTATTGATCTCTAGACAGAGCATAAACAACATCCATGCCGAGGTGACAGAGCTTTCGACAAAATTAAGTCGCCGAGTATGCTTCATTATATATATTGTATCAATGTTAATTCAAACATAATCGAGAGTCTTACTTGTCTCTACAGAGCATAAAACAACATCCATGACGGTGACAACTTTTCGACAAAATTAAGTCGCCGATATGTTCATACGAAAATAAAATTGCAGAAGAGAACACTACAAAAATAAAAAAACAGAAATTAGCGACAAAATATTCAGTAGGTACGTAAAGCTTGAAATTCTATTGCTAATTCTGATTACCTACCGATTAGCTACGGAAAAATTCGATTGGTAAAGTCCTTGTCGCAAATTAATTACCTATTGATTTACATTCTGTCGGTAATTAATGACCGAAATTCAGTCTCTAAATGTTTTTTTTTTTTGTTGGTAAATCTGAGTTTTATTTCTCATAGAATTTGTCATTAATTTTTGTCGAAAAAATTTTATCGGTATTTAGTTGGTAATTCTATCGATATTTTGTCGATATTTGGTCGATAAATAGTCATTATTATTAATTTCTAATTATCTAAATTAATTTATTTAGTCAGTTATTTTTAGGAAAACAGTTAAAAATTCATTGCTAATTTGTCGAAAATCAGTCGGTAAATTTGTTCAAAAATGGAAAATTTTAATGTGAAATACCAATTAAAACCTGTAAAAACATCCACTTTATATCAAAGTCATTCATTTACACCTGTATAATAGTAAAACCATTCCAAATCTCAAATTTTAAATTGCAAAAATATTTATATAATAGCATCCATAATGGTATCACAATATGTCAACATCTATATAGTTGTGAGACTGTTCCATACTCTAAGTTCAAACAGTAATCAAAGCATGAAATAAGCACAACATAAAGCATATAAAAGCTAAGACAAGTCATCATCCAAACTGACATCATCCTGATCCTCCTCCTGAGCTGCTCTATCTTCTGTAATCCTAAGTCCACCACCATTAGTAAGACGAGAACGACTGGTGGGTATTACAAATTGGTTGACAGCATTAGGTGGATCTATACTAGTAAAATGAGAATACGATGTTGTGGTGGTATAAACTGGATGCATTCGCAAATGACGACTAAGCTGAGAAATCATCTCCTTTTGCTCTTTAAATTCTCACTCCATATTTTTCTTTTGCTCTTTCAGCTCTTTCTCCAAAGAGGCTATTCGGTCCGCCTGAGTTTGCGATGACTCACCAGTCTCAAATGTAGATGTAGCTGACATCCCAGATCTTCTTCACATGCCAAAGTAGTATCTCGATGCCTGTGAACCTATCCCATAAATATGCCTCTTATTTGAATCTGTTGCAACTTCAAGGAAAATCTGTGTCTCATCAACGACATGTTGCACTGATCCTTCTGTATGAGTAGAGGCACTCTCTTCAATCCTCTTTTGTAATGTTTCCTACATGATATTAATAAATTAGACAACTAAACAAAGGGTTTGCAATATCTATTAAAACACAAAATCAAGTAGATATGGATCATTATAGGTAATATGACATTGACTTACAAACATTCCTTTAGAGCGTCTATCAACCCAATTATTGCCATCCCATTTTTTAGTGTGAAGATGCACAAACAACTCCCCCAATATAGGGTCCACACCAGTCTCATTAGCCTATTATTTTGGAGAAAACATTTAACTTCCCATGTTTAAAGATATGAATTTTCGAAAGTGAAAATATGTTAGACATATAATATAGAGCTTACGATGTGTTGTTGGTGTCTAATGCTGAGATGGAGCCTCCGGTGTGGAGAGATAAACCAGATTCTTCTCCACCTCTCTCAAACCGTCGATTCTTAGAAAAGATCTCTAATTTCTTAATGGCCTCAGGCGTCTTCCAGTATTCAGTCCATTTATCCCAAACTTCATCTTTGATATATGATTTTCTCCCTTTCTTCTTTAATTGAGAAACAAAATCAGAAGACCTATTTGCTGCCTGCCTATACCATGCTCGTTTTATCATTGCCTCTGATTTGGCATCCCACTTGCATTTTTTCTATAAAATATTAATGACAAGTTAGTCATAAACTTTAAGTAATTGGTTGCATGATGATTTCTAAATGTTAGATTTAATTTATTTAACACATTAACAAGTTCAAGAAAGTCACCTTAAATTCCCTCCAATATCTATCTTTTGTCTCGACAGTAATACTCTTCCAATTGATGCCGCATGCATCCTGCTGACGAAAATTCACAGTCTTATCCACCAGAAGTTCAATTTTTTTGCCTCTATCCAAAACCTATATTACAACAGAAAACAATTTCAGTTTGGTTTCAGCCAAATAAGAACTTACTTGTGTAAGTGTTCCATTTTAACCCAGAAAATGCTGATCATATTATTGCTCATCCAAATAAAAACTTACTTGTGTAATTATTTGAAATATAATTAATAACTAATAATTCGTTTATTAATTTGAAAGCAGGCATGTAAGAAACAAGAAATAAAACTAATTTATTTTCATTAATCAATTAATCTAACACTTAATTATAAAAAAGAATAACTAAATTTAATAGCAGTTGTAAAACTTAAAAAGTGGAAGTAATCTTATATAATAAATAATATGGAATTAATTCACATGATATGCATAATCTTATATAATGGGTTATTACACATCTCTCAAAACACATGACTTAGATATACATGACTCATGACTTGAAATATGTTATACATGGCTTAGATATACATGGCTTAGCTATCAAAACACATCTGTCAAAACTTGAAATGTGTAATCATGTATATCAGTATATACATGACTCATTATTCATCATTTTTTCTAAGTTAATCATGTATATCAGTATATATATTACTCACACATTTAGCTAGCAAAGAATGAAATAGATAATCTATTTAACTTTTAATGGCTCGGGCAAAAAACTGAAATAGATAATAACAAAGAATGGATACAGCAAGCAAGAATAAATGGATAGTTTATTCTATTTCATTTTCGAATTCCAATCGTCAGCTAGCAAGAATGGATACAGCAAGTAAGAATGGTTCAAAGGATAATAACAAATCAGACAATAATATTTTGCAACAAACAAAATGCAGTTTCTCTACTGCTGCATAAAACAATATACTCTAAACAATCCTCCTGTGCAAAAGAATGAAAATCAAATTCCAGAATCAACTAAACAAGTGCAAAACTGAAAGCTCATATAAATCATAGGATTATGCCGCAATTTTGGAACAAAGTTAGGGCATTTTCATGGTTAATCGGGCGCTAAAATTAGAGAAATACAATAAGTTTCTCTCATTCAATCAAATCTATAAGCCAAAGCCAAAATTGAAGCAAATACTAAATCAAAACAACAAATTGACTTTTGACGCAAAAGGGAAAACGAGTCGACGAAAGTAATGGAGTTTGCCTCGTAGAGTTGCTCACTGATGGCGGAACCAATAACTTTAGCGTAGAAAGCGGCTACATAAACAGTGACCAGAGGGGTCGATGGAAGGATGGAAAGGAGTAGAAAAGAGCAGATTACGTAGTGACAGAACATATGAGTTCCCCCATTTTACTTTACTAGTTTACTGACAGAATTATTTTGTCGGTAAATAACATATTTTTGTCAGTAAACTTGTAATCTTAGGGTTGAAAAATTAAATATATATATATATATATTGACTATATTTCGGTCGGTGTTTAGTCGATAAATATATTTACAAATATTAACGCAATATTATCCACTAATTACCTACATAAAATTTTCAGTCGGTAATTAGCTACTGATTTCCTACCGAAATCTGTCGTTATCTTTTATCTATTTAATAATTTCAATTTATTTAATTATGTTGTAGTTTGTCGTTAATTGGTAGTTAAATATCTACAAAACAATATCCGGAGGTAATTTTATCGGCATTTAATAATTTTTTTTAGTGGAAATAGAATTCAAATAATAAAAAAAAGTCATGGAAAAATGCCAATAATGAGAAGAACAACTGATGGTTGAAAATAACGTGAGCAAAATGAGAAATAACGATAAGAAAATAATAGATAGCAACAAAATGAGAAAGAACGACGCCGAAAACAATGGAAGCTGTAAAAAGATGGCAACAGAAATAGAAAAGAAATTAAAAAAAGAAATGATAATTAAAATAGAAAATTAATAAGAAAGGAAACATTAAGCAATTAGCACACTAACGCCTAACAAAATAAAAAGAGGCGTAAAAGTAAAAACAAATCCAAACTAACATAATTTAAATTAAAAAGTCAAACTGATAATCTCTAAACATAAGTTTCAAAATATGACATCTATTATAATTACCCTTGATCATCAATTGGGTTTAGTTTAGCTTTTTATGGGTCCATGAAATAAGAAGTCCATATTTGATTACATTTTTCTGTTCACAGCTCTCTATTTTTACAAGTAGACATTTTATTTTTAAATCTAATTAATTTTCAAATTTGCCATAACACCCTCGCATACTGCATATCATCTGATTTTTAAAAAAATCTGTAAAGAAAATCCAGTAATACAACATTTAAGGCATTTCAATAGCTATTCATATTAATTGGTAATTGCTGATAACAATGAAGCTGTAAATCTAATGGTTGGATGCAAATCCTATCAGTTCCTTGGACTCCATTTAGTGAGTCATAGTAAAATGTAATCAAATGCATATCGTAAACAAATGTATGAAGATACAATAGCGAACGGGTAATATCAGATGAAAAAGCAGGTATTTTTTATACAAAAAATTCTGATATATGGTTGAAAAAGCTCTTTTACTTTCAATGTGTTAAACCTTAACTTATGCCTTCAATATTTCTCTTTCTTCTCAGACGAATTTTTTGAAAATTTCAGCCATTGTTGCTTGGTTTTCTCTGATGTAGTGATATTTTGAGTGAATTCTGTAAGCCCCTGTCTCAATGCTCCAAGATTAACCCCATTACCAACTAGAATGCTCGTCACTCCCATTTTGAAACCTGACATTCCGAGTCGAAATTACTTAAATGAGTAAACACGCTTTCTTCCAAAATAAATAGAAATTCTTACAAATTCACAATAAATTTACAACATCTCAAGGTAAACTCCGAATGGAACTTTCTACTCATCAGGTAAATAGAAGGATAAAAGAAATTCAATGAAAAGGAACACAGAAAAGGCTATTTTTACCGCTTGGATGTTTCTGTCCTCATCATCAAAAAACAGCATCGAGTTATAGGGTACACCAGTCCTTGAATGAATCGTCTGAAAATGTTCGATCTCAAACCAACCCACCATCTTGTACCGCCGCCCGACCCGACAAGAGACTTTCGACACACGACCTACAGATCTTCTTCCGGTCTTGGTCCCTGTTGTTACACCACATCACACCGGATTAGTATGATATTGTCCGCTTTGGGCCAAATCCTCACGGATTTATTTTTGGACACCTCCCAAAAAGCTTCATACTAATGGGTTGGACTTGAACTATTATATTTTGGTTCCTCTTTTTATTTTTATTCGATGTGGGACTTGGGAGGATATCCCAACAAGCCAACCATTAACATGACTCAAAATCAATCCAAAAAATATGAATAGGTTCTTAAGATCACCAACTTAACAGAATTTGGATGTTCATTGCTTCAGAAGAGGAAATTACAATATGATTGTCAATTAAGTTTGCCTATTCTAAATATAAGTTTGAACTTTGAACAAGCAGACGTACTAATTTCAAGTGATCCTAACATATTGAAACATTAGTGCTGTTACTTGGCATGTTAATGCTTATATGGATATCTGATGCACTGCCATGCACCCAAAGAATTCCAATTTCTGAGACGCTAAGAGAAAGAAGAAGGAGAGCAGTTTCATTTACAACCTCAGTTAGATGCCACATCTTTCTCGTTATTATATATACATTTAAACCGCATAGAAAAGTTACTGACCCAAAAACAGTAACTCTCGGTAACAGTAATTTTTCATCTTATTTACCCTTAAAAACTGTGTAAATAAATAAATACCATAAAATTTCATGACATTGTTTTTGGTATAAATGAAAATTTACTCAAACTTTCACATTGATTTTATGGAATTGATTATACTTAAATCAAAATTTACTAAAAATTAATAGAATTTGCAAATGATTTCTAAGAAATATTTAAAAATTACTGTGCATTTAAAAATTTAATTGCCCTGATTTTCCTCCACTATACAAGATGCCTTGTTAAATAGATCCAGCACGTCCAAAATGAAAGGTGACAGGTCAATCAAAGTACTTGTCACTATCTCTGGACCTTTCCAAGGGAACAAAACGGAAAATCTACTATCCTTAGTTTTAATGGTTAAGGTACGTTTCTTACTGATACTTAATAGCTAGTACTGATTTTTTTATTTTTTTTTTAACAGCTAATAACTACTCTTAATAGTTCACAAGTATTGAGTGTTTGGTTGTTTGGAAAAGAAAGGAAAATCTATCATCGTTTGTTTTTTTTTTTTTTGGAGGGAAGAAAATCTATCATTCTTAATTTATTGGAAAAGACAAAGATGATTTATATGTAAGCATGTGTAAGAATTAATGATGGGGTATACAATTTATTAACTCTTATCAGTCACTTTATTCACCTTCAAAAATTTTTTTATTTTATATATTAATTAGAGAAGAGATCTGCGTCTCTTTCTATATAATATTTTTAAATAATAAAATACTGTAAATAAAATTACTATAATAGTGACAATAATTAACTCAAAATAATTAGATTTTAACAATAATAATTTAGATTTATAACAAAAGACGCAAATCTAACTATTATTTGAAAATAATAAAAAAAATAAAGAACGTTAGGTTAGAAGGAAACTTGGTGATTATTAGTGAGAGCTCATTGATAACCATCCATGAAAAAAGAAAGAGAGAAGGTGAGAAGTTTTAAAAGTAAAAAAAAAAAAAAAAAAAAAAAAAAAAAAGTTTATACACAAAAGACGCAAGTCTAACTATTATTTGAAAATAATAAAAAAAAAATAAAGGAACGTTAGGTTAGAAGGTGAGACTTGTGCATTAGTTAGTAGAGAGTTCAATTGATACACCATCCATGAAAAAAAGAAAGATGAGAAAGGTGAGGATTTTAAGAGTAAAAAAAAAAAAAAAAAAAAAAAAAAAAGAGAAGAAAGAAGAAAATGAATAGAGTGCTACACTTTCCTTTCATCCGCATTATTTACTATTTTTCAAAAGTTATTTTTTTTATTCGTTGAAGCTTATATGAGTGTGATATAATACTTGACCAGACTATCCGCAAATGTACATCCATTTCTCTTTAATTCACGAATTGGATTTGAAAACTTCTTTACATTAATCTTTTTTCTCTCTATTATTTTCCTTATCTCTGGCTAAACACAACAATTGTTTTCTATTACTTTCCTTACAATTCATTGCGTAATTCTTCCTTCTTTTTTTGTTGTATCTTTTAACTTTTAGTAGTAGCTAAATTAATGGAGAGAGTTGTTGCAGATCAAATAATTAAAAATGGTGTTTAGATAAAATTTAAGTATTCTTTTAAATTTAGCTCACTTTAATTCTTCCTAGATCAGTGCAAGAACCTTAACATGAGTTTTACTGTGAACATTTGTAAAATTTTTAATAAAATTTTTCCAATAGAATAAGTATCAAATTCATATTATCTCATATAAATTCTTTTTAATTCAAGATTATAAATAAAACATAGCTTACCGATGGGCGGCGTGCTGTATATAATATTGCTATTTATTAATTACAATAATCTTAATTAAAGAGATTGATAACAGCCTAAAAGCATTCAAGAATACTCAAATAATAAAAATTAGTTTATAGACATTGAGTGAACCCGGACATGTTAATAATGTTCAAACCTGTAAAAATATCATTATCTGAAAGGATTACAATCAAAGGAGACTTCTAAGAATGCCTTTAAGGCAACTCAGGAAAATTTCTCATTAGTTTTATCTTGAATTAAAAAGTGATATTATGTCATTATTCCGTCAATACTTACAAGAAATGGCCACTGTTTTCAAAATACATAGAGAAGCTATTACAATATATATTATCTTTAAGGAAACTCAAGGAAAATTTCCTTAGTTTTATCTTGAATTAAAAAAAGTATATTATTTCATAATTCCGTAATCTTACAAAGAAATGGCCACTTTTTACAAAATACATAAGAATATTACAATATATTTATAAATAGATCTAATTTTGTAAATCATTAACTTTTACAAGAAAAAGCCATATGTTATAAATTTTTAAGAAATATTAAAAAATAATGGCAACTGAAAATATTATTTTATAATCCAATAACTTTTAAAAAATGACATTATTTTACAAAGTACTTAAATATATTTATGTCGAGAAATACAAAATATAACCACATTTTATAATATATTAAGAAGCATTTCAATATATTGACAATTAAAATTATTTTTTTTTATTTGATAACTTTATAAAAAACAATCACTTTTTATAAAATATTGGAAAGTATTACAAAAATATTGGTAATTAAACCTATTAATTTGTAATCGAACAACGTTACAACAATGAATCACTTTTTACAAATTGTTAGAAAGTATTGCAAATATAAGTAATTCGAGCTATTATTTTGTAATCTGGCCACATTACAAAATATGTACTTTTACAATTTTTTAAGATTTATTATAAAATATTGGTGACTACAATTATTATTTTGTAATTTGGTAATTTTACAAAAAAATAGCTACTACCTTTCACAAAATATTTTAAAATATTACAATATATTTACAACTATACCTTTTCTTAGGAAATATTTATAACTATACTTATTATTTTGTAAATTGTCACTTTTATAACAAACATCCGTCTTATACAAGATATTAAGAAATATTATAAAATATTGAAAAAATATTTATTATTGTATAAAAAAAAATTTTATGACAAATAATTATTTTTTAAAGATATAATGAAATATTACCCATTTCGTTCCATATATATATATATAAAATATAAAAGCCTAGTTTGACTTTCACATAAATTAAGAAAAAATTGTTAATATAATTAGTTTTTTTTTTCTAAAATACCCCTCTATTATGAATATTATACAATTGAGAATAGAGATATAATGAGAAATTAAACAATAAATGATCATTTAAAAAATTAAATAGGAATACAATTCAAGACAAATAGAAAAAAAAAAAAGTGAGCTTAGAATATAAAATACTACTATACTATAAACGCTATTTTTTACGGTGTTTATAACATATCGTTTAAATTAATTTTTAAAAGTTAAGATATCGGTAAATGAAAAGTTAATCCCATGTAACGTTTAACTTGTAATGTTTTATAAAAAATTACTCAAATAATCAACAGCTAAACGTTACTAAAACAACCAATTTTGCTGAACAGATCCTATAAGTCAGTGTGCATTTAAAATTTATACTACCATAAAATTTAAATGGCTTGATTTTTTCTTGATTTATCTAAATATAGCATTCAATCTAATTAATAATTTAAGTATAAAAACACTTGTGGAGGAGAGTGGACAACAATAAGTATTTTTGGTTTTTTTTATTTTTATAAAAGAAACAATGAATAAATCTATTTAAATCGAGCAGATTTGCCATTTTTAGAACAAGACAACATTTCTCATAACAGTAGGGGCCGACCAAGTAAATAATTAGAGTGTTTGTTTGTCTGTCTATTTTGATGATAAGCATTAAGTGAATAAAATAATATTATTAGAATTTAGAACACGTAATAGAAGAGGCACATACACGTCCAAGTTCTGTCCACAAAATGCCCCAACTGTTTTTCAAACAGCACACGACAGAACTACACTGAATCTGCACCGATTATATGGATTCACTTATGAATTAATACAATAAGAATATAATTTTTTAAAATATTATTTTTATTTTATCTTTTTTTTTAGTGCATGGTTGATTAAAAATATTTTCATTTTCATAAAAACTTAATTTTCCTTATTTTAATTCATAAATGAATATATGCACTCATCTAAGAAGTCGATCTTAGTTCATGCAACCGATAATTTAAATTTTAAAACTCATTATGATTGCGATTTATTTTTAACTTTATTATTATTCTATCTCAATTTAAAAGTTGAGCACATCTTAAAATAAATTAAAAATTGAGTTTCAAAAATTGTCTTCAGTTATTTCAATTATATTCAATTTTGAAATAATGACCAAAATTAGATAATATTTTTATTTTTTTATCTAAATCAATTTATTTTATTATTATATTTCAATTATTGTATTTTTTTGATAAAAAAAGAGAATTATCATTTTTATTTATTTCTGAAATTTTATTTTTTAACATGTGAAAATAATATATTTTTTTTTTGTGTTATTTGAACAAAAATTGAATCTGGATAAATTGTTAGTAACTCTCAAGAGTTTTTAAGTCAAGGCAATGACTAGATTATCTTGTGGGTGAGACCACAAACAAATATAGTGGCTAAGAAGGTATCCACAACAGCTTGAAATTCCAATTTTTTAAGTAGTTTTTAGCATGCTAAAAGCTATTTATTATAGTATTCTGTAACATAGCTTTTGAACTAGCTTTTTAGAGGTTAAAATAACGTTTTATAAAAAACTACCTCCTATAACATTTAGTTTTTATGAAAAGCTACTAAAATAACTATTAGATACTCAAACAACTAATAGCTTTCCAAATAACTAATTTTGCCGAACAGACTCTCGATCTAAAAATCTTTTTCAGCGCTTCCAAATAACTTATTTTGCTCGATACAGACTCTCGATCTAATAAATTCTTTTTCACCGGCAGTTGAATGCATTGAAGAGATTTTTGTTATATCCTTGAAGGGTACAATACACAAAAAAAAAAAAAGACAATGGTTCAATCTAAAGGGATCAATTAAGTAAGTGCATGACATCTACAAAGACAGGAATGAATTTACCCCTTTTCGGAGGGGTGAGGAAATTTTGGAAAGAACTGAAAAATCAAACCGAACCAATGTAGTTTGGTTATTTTGATCATTTTTTTAATCTTTGGTTTGGACACATTTTTTAGTTGAAGAAAATTTGGTTTGAAAAAAAAAATTTTTGTGACTAAAATTGAAACAATGCAGTATCGTTTTGCAGCAATTACATCCTTTACGTTTTAACCTAGATTTCAGATTATAGTTAATATTAAGAATTTAAGATGAGAAAAGTTTGGATATTCAATTACTGAACTGAAAATTGCGATTTGATTTATTCTACATTGGTTTGAATCAACGGTTTGAATCAATGGAGAGAGTCCCTACTTTTTCTTTTTGATGTTTGAGAAGACGTCCTTACTTTCTGTTTTTGAGTGTTTTTGTCCAATGTTTTTGTCTAATATCAACTTAACTATTTGACAATTTATATGGAGATGTTAGTCTGTAGATGTGGTAGCCTATTTACATTATGTTACGACTTGTCTCCATTATTAAGTTTTTCAGTTTCTATTAATAAATATGTGAGTTCCATTCTTGCAAAAAAACAAAAAAGGAGAAAAAGAGAAAAAAAAAACCCACAGAGATACGTTATCGGAGAACGACATGAACGTATGTAATGCACATGGGTTGTCATACACCAAGTTCCCAATCTCATTAAATGTTATCTTATGCAGGACAATCGGAGTATTATTACTCTATTGTACTAGGTAAAGAAAAGACAAAGCTAGTAACCAAGTAAGAGAAGTTTTTCCAAGATACAAGTCGATCGTCATAGGTGAATGGGTACAAAATTTATCTAATGCAGACAAGGTATTATTGTCTTTTACTAGGTAAAAAAAAGACAAACTAGTAAAAGATTAAGAAAGTTTTTCCAAATAGCAATCGATCGTTAGGTGAATGGGTAACTCTATGCCCAGGCACAAACTGCAATCAACAAATGAGTAACTTGAAACTTTTATAACCTAATCAAGATTCAAGCCATAGAAATTGAACTTTATACAAGCTACAGTAAAAGCGACAGTGGAAATTAAGAAAGCTAAAGATCTTGAAAATCCATTATCTCTATCTGCATCTCAATCTCATCAAGGTTTGGTTCTTGTTCTTCATTGAAGAAAAAATTCCAGATTTCCTCCTCATAGGAAATGTTACTCCACCAGTCATTTTCCTTACTGCTACTCTCCCCTTCAAAGAATCCGCTGACACTTTCTCCTGCAAAGGGTTTATGGTGTTCGATATATTTATTTCTTTATCTTCTTTATTACCCGATGGTGGAAATTCAACAGGCATAGAAGCCTTGCCAAAATGATTATCACTGTGACCTTGATGATCTTTATCTTGTAGGGTTCCAATAAATGAAGATATATTTTTTGAGAGTTTAAAGGGTCGAGGCTTTACAATTTCATTCTTAGTGCTGGTTATTGTTTTTACTGTTTTGCCTTTCATACCATCTTCCTCAGAATAAGGATTATAGGACTTCTGCTTCTTGCGCATATGAGTATTCCAGAAATTTTTCACATCATTTGCTGTTCTTCCTGGTAGTCTACCAGCTATTAATGACCATCTGCATGCATAATTAAAAGTAATTAGCAGTACAAGTAATTAAAAGACAATAATCTGATACTAGTAAAAATTAGCAGTTATAACACCCGGTGGGCAAAAAAATATTTCTAACTAAAAATAACATTTGGTAGCATCACCAAAACAGCTATTAAAATTTAATAATGGAATCTAACAAGAACAAGGGTCAGAAACGGTTGGTTCGGTTCAAACCAAACTGAACCAACGATAAAAATGTAAAACCGAAATTTTCTGACCAGAAACGAACCGAAATTGGCATATGAATTGAACCGAATTGAATCAAACTTGTCGGTTCGGTCTATTTTTACCATTTTGTGTTGGTTTTAACTTTTAAGCCTATTGCAAAACTGAGTCGAACCACCAATAACTTCGGTTCAATCTGATAAAATCTTTTGGGTAGGTTGACAGAACTGAACCGAAATGCGTGATAATATTAAATTTTTGTCTTTGTTAATTGTAAATAATTAAAATAATGTAAGCGTTGATTTCTTTCTTCATAATGCATATATCTTTAAAGAAAATAGAAGAAAAAAAAATCATACCCCTTTGGAATAATGAATTCTACAAAATTTTGTAGAATTCAAGAATTCATTCAAAAATCCATTTTGTGTTTTGGGATAAAAATAGGATTTAAATTGAATTCTACAAAATTTTGTAGAATTCATTCAAAAATCCATTTTGTGTTTGGGATAAAAAAAATAAGGATTTAAATTCTATGAATTCAATTTTATGGATTTGGACATAATTGAGTCAAATTTTCTATTAAAATAAGTGAAATTTTTATGATAAAATTATCCTAATAACTTTCTAAAATTACCTATCTCAAAGGTATTTCAACAATAAAAGCAAATGAATTTTAAATTTTGAGTTTTATTCTAAATATAAACAATTCACTTATGAATGAATTTAACCTAAATTCAGTTTTTACAAATGAATTCATTTATACCAAATAAAGTGTTTAGGTCATTGAAATTTATGGGGTAAAATTCATTGAATTAACATATACTATAATTATGCATTTTTGTTTTTTTTTTTTTTTGGTTTAAAACCATCGGTATTCGGACCCAATTACTAAAGACCGTCTAATCCGGCTTGGGGGACGTAGTCACAGTTAAGATTTTTCGCCCTTCATGCAAGTGCATTTATTGGGATCGAGCTGAGAGCTCTTTCCACATGCCCTGCGTACATTGTCAATTGAGTCACAATCTATAAGTACAATAATTATGCATTTTTATCGATATCTACTTTGTAAAGTACATGTTTAGGGGTTTTACAATACAATCATAAATTTAATAATGATATTTGATCCTTACGAACGTATATATGTCTTCTAACTAAGAAAAAAGCGTGATGGTTAAGAATACTACAAAAGGTTAAATTTGAGTTACCTGTTTCCTAGAAGGTTGTGAAGCCTGACCATTAGGTCAATCTCATCTGAAGTGAATTTTTCTCTTTTAATGTCTGGTTTAAGATAGTTTAACCACCTTAATCTACAACTTTTCCTGCATCTGTTCAACCCTGCAAATTATATGAATATAACTTCCATTTAAATGCCTACAATTCTATTAATTCTTAATTATTTGCAGGCATATATTAATGATTTTCAATATATATATATATATATAAAGAGGGAGAAAGAGAGAGAGAACCAGCTCTTGAAGGGACTTTATGCCATTTGCCTTCTCCATGTCTTTGAATGCAGTTTCTGAGAAGCTCGTCTTCAACAGGAGTCCAAGCACCTTTTCTCAGTGCTAATACAGGTGGAGTTGGACCCTCCATACGTATATCCTGCCCTAAAATAGGGTGCTATCGATATGTGTATATATATAGAAAAAAACATGGCTACAAGCTTTAGTCTCGACTCGGTGGATTGCGTTTCAACAACCAATCGAACGGCCCTAAATATTTTTGGTTCTCACAATGATTGTAATGTGAATTATGATAGTATTATAAACATGTGAGAATAAAAATAAACAGTTCAATCATTTTTTTAATATAGAATATATTTACATAGCGAGATCCCCGACAAATGAAATATTACTAAAAATCATAAAATTACATTCAATTATTAAGCCTAAATCCTAAATTGTATTCTAACTCTAATGTATTAATACTAAAACTATAAAACTTTATGAAATTCTAAAAATTCCTTAAACAATAAACTCTAAAATCTTATAAATTGAAACCCTAAATCTTGTAACCCTAAAATTTAAACTTTCAACTTTAACCCCTTGTCTGAAATAAGTGAATTCCATAAAATTTTATAGAATTTATTTATTATAGATCCAAAATTTTTTATTTGTTATTAAAAAAGATGAAGAATTAAATTATACAAATTCAGTTCTACGGATTTGAAATAATTAAAACAAAATCTGCAAATAAATGTGAAATTTTTAAATGAATTCTACAAACTTAATCGACATTTATGATAAAACTCTTCATTTTCTTAGTTTCCTAAAATTATTATATCAAGGATGTTTTAAAAATTAAAGTAAATGAATTCAATTTTCTAATTTATTCCAGATATAAAAAATTCATTTACAGATAGATTCTATTGATAATTCATTTATAAATAACATGCAAGATTTATAAATCTTAAACTCATAAATCCTAGGACCACAAAATCTAAAACCGTAAAGCATAATTTTATTTGATTATTATTATTTTTTTACCATCAAGGGGGATATGTAATTTTATTATTTTAAAGAATGCATACGAGTGAATATTACCCTTAGAAGTCATATCAAGAATCAACCCGACAAATGTTTAAATTTTAGAAGTTGTGATAACTGTCAATCATTATCCACATCTGCCTGTGGCAATGCACATTTAGTGGTCGAAAAATCTCCTTAAATGTCTTGTCAGGAGTATTATAATACTTTAGAAAATAAATAATATAATTAAAAAGATATTTACGTGAGAGAATATTTGAAAAATAAAAAATTTGATTAAATATATATAGTGAAAATGGAGAAGAAAATATTGAGATTGACAAAATATTTCTACCAAATTTATATTAATAAATATCTTTAAGAATTATAATTCAATTGATTAAAGAAAAGAATTATAATTTATTTTGTCATACTTTAAAATTTGACATATTTTAATTAAGAATTATAACCCATTAGAAAAGTTTTTTTCATATCTATTAGAAATTATTTTATTCACTATTGATTTATTCCGTTGCTAATTTACAATTAGCTACAAATCATCTCCCTCTCTAGAAATCGTCTTTTTTTATAATAAGCCACGGACTAGCAATCCCTTGCTAATTTAGCAAAAGATATTTCCATTGCTAATTCAAATCCAACCCGTTTACTAAATTATATCTGTATATGAACCAAATTTATTGTCTTTCCGCGTCTGACTCATTACTATATCCCTTGCTAATACATGTCTAATTATGTTCCTTACTAAGTCCTATCTAAATCCAGAGCCAAATATAATATTAGATAAAAAATTCGCTGCTAATCCATTGTTGGTTTTGTTACTAATGAAAATGCCTTACTAAATCCGTTATTGAGTTTATTATAAGTTTATCAAAATTCGAGGCTAATTTGTTGCTATTTGAGTCTCTTGCTAAATCCGATACTAATTATATTGAAATGTTGTTGAAATTCCTGGCTAATCTGTTGCTATTTAGAATCTATCACTAAAACCATTGCTAAATATATCAGAATTTTACTAAAATCCATATGCAATATGTTGCTAAAGCCATTGCTATTTTACAATCTCTCTAAATTTCTTGCTAAATCCATTACTAATTTTACAATGTATTTATGTAAAGTCAAACTTTTAATAAATATAATTTTGTTATTAATATAAACACCTTATAAATTCAAAGCTTAGTTTAAATAAAAAAAATAAATTGTCTTATTTACCAAGCTAATCTATAAATCTAAAGTCTTAGACTAGTGGCATCATTGTCATCCTGATGTTTATGTGAAGAAAGTTATAGTCTAAATTGTTGCGGAGTATTTAGCATCGATCTTAAAATCAAAAGCGACATGCATACTGACAATGGATTCAACATTGCATGTATATCAATCGTTCTTTTGATATATCCATCATCTGAATGATTAATCTTAACTCTACTTAAATATTCATTTCGTCTCGACGACATATCTGTAAAAAGCTAAATATGTAACTTTCTCATATTATACATTTATTTGCGTAATTCCTACATAATTTCAACAAAGTTTCCCTCTATTTATTTGAAAATTTCCAAAACTTGTACAACAAATCATACACACTTCTTTGTAGACAAATTTCCAACTGCAATGAATACAAATGAGTGCCAAGTTATTGAAAACAAACAATGCAGTACTAAATGCAGGGTACCAATGGGACCTAGTCCATGTCAAAAACTGTGTAAATATTAATTAGTGCAAGTATGATGGCCTAAAAATCTTGTGAATGGGAACCAAATGGGATTGTGATTGTGATTTGTGCATCTATCCAAATGGGAACCAACATATTATATTATGTGATTGTGATTTACATCTCTTTTCTTATTCTCGCATGGCATTACACTTTAAACCTTTGTCTGGATGGGAGAATTTTTTTTTTTTTTTAAAAAAAAGGAACATTATTATAGAAAATATCTAAGAAATGCATTTTTTTTCTTATTTATTTTTATTTAGGCTTACATATTTTGAATCTCCTAGGTATGGAGAGAAAATAATAGAAAAAAAAAAGAGAATTTCACTCACTTTTATTAAATTATCAAAATATCCCAAAGTAATTAATAAACTTTAACCCTTTCTTAAATACCCCAACATTTTAAGTAAGGACATAGTTGTTAATTTTTAATAATTATAACGTCTCTCCTCTAAAATTTTGCATTTTCTAAATAAAAGAAATTAATTTATTTTCTTTTTTTTTCTTCATTATATCTTTATTAAATGTAAACATGAGAGTGGAAAATAAATATGAAAAAAAAAAAACAATTGTCCATTATTTTCCTTCCTCTTCTTTCCAAACAAAAGGTAAAATTTTAATTTCTCAAATAATTTTTTAATTTAATTAGTACTATTCTATATAAAAAGAAAATGGCACACTTAGTACAGACATGTGCCTACCCTCAAATAAAAAAAATTTTGGTTCATCAAAAAAAAGAAATTTTAATCGTGTTATTTGTTTTTATTTTCTTCTCCACTTCTAGGATTAAAATCAAACCATCATAAATTACCATCCTTTCCATTTTAAGGGCCAACCCATTCTTGAATCATTAAATCAAATTTTTATTCGACAATATAATATTTTTATTTCATATAATATTTAAAGCAAAATTTTTACAATTTCAAAAGATAACCATAATAAAATTTTAATATTTAAAATATATAAAACCCTAAGTTTCCTCTATTATTTTCTTTCTTCTCCTTTCCAAACAAAAGGTCAAAGTTTAATTTCTCAATTAGTTTTGTAATTTAATTAGTACTGTCCTATATAAAAAGAAAATGGCACACCTAACGAGGGGCAAAGCTTCACTGTGCCTAGTATAGGCATGTGCCCACCCGTAAATAAAAAAAATATTTGGTTTATTAGAGAAAAATTTAATTATGTTATTTGTTTTTGTCTTCTTCTTCGCTTCTAGGATTTCTAGTTTTTTTTATGACGAGTAATACACGATGACTATATTGGATATATGATTATTTTTTATATTAATTTTATTTTTTTATTTATATAATTAAAATATAGATTCTTATTTAGATTATAATAAATATAATAATTTTTATATATTAGGTAAAATATTTTTTTAATTATATATCTTGCACTATAATATCTCACCGAAAAAAATTGATATATTTTTTTCCTTTAAAATAGCAATTTAAATATGAAATATGTTATTTATATTCTCTTCAACATACTGATTCGTATAATTTTTATTATACGTTTGTTGCTTTTACTTTTTTGTTTAAGTACCAAATTAATTTATAAAAATCATCATATAGCTTTTATTTTATATTTTATAATTAACTTGCATATTTTTTTAATAACTTTCACTATAATCTCTTTTAGTAAATAAATATACTTTAATAATATTTGTTGCTTTTACTTTTTTGTTTAACGTACCAAATTAATTTAATAAAAATCATCATATAGCTTTTATTTTTATATTTTATAATAACTCTTGCATATTTTTTTAATACTTCACTATAATCTTCTTTTAAGTAAATAAAATTACTTTAATAATAGAATATAGAAACTAATCTAATAAATCAAATTAAATATTTATAAATAATAATAACTTGTATTTTTATTTTTTTAGCCAATCAAAGTCATGAAATCATTTAAAAAATTTAGTAATAATATTATATTTCTTGATAGAAAGATTAGGATTTGAATTAAATAAGATATCAAAATAATTAATCAAATTTAAGATGTTTAAAAATAATATTTTTTTTATCTTATTTTTTGACCAACCAAATTAGAATGCAATTTATAATTAAAGAAATTTAACCATATAATTTTTAAATTGAGATCTTAATTATCTAGATACATTTATTTAAAATAAATTCAAAAAAATAAAAATTTTCAAATGCCTCATTTACACATATTCACTTAAAATAATAATGTTGAGGATAAATTACAATAATAATAATAATAATAAATAATATAATAATAATAATAATAATATACAATTATTGAAGATTCATTTAATTATTATTATTAATTTAATATAATAATATAATTGCAATAAAACATATTATTGACATATATGATGATAATAGTAAAATTTTTTAAAATTTTTAGTTATCTATATGGTGTTTATTCTATTTA